TATATATATATATATATATATATATATATATATATATATATATATATATATATATTTATTCAATATTACGTGTCGAATTAAATTATCTTGATATCGCGTCAAATTCGCAATTATCCTATACCACGTTAACAGGACTTTCTATAATAACCTATTATGAAATATGTTATTATAGATAATGTTTGCTGATAACATCATGCAAAATTTATTATTAATTGAAATCAGTAATAGGCGTATATTATGTTGATAATAAAAAACTTTTTAATAAATTTTTAAAAGCCCAAAAAAAGATATATTTCATTCTTTCTGCAGTATAATATAATATTTTTCGACTTATATGTTTGCCATATATATTTATTTATCTTCTATTGTATTTTATTTATAAAGGAAGGATTTTGAAAAAAATTTTAATTTTAAGGAAATATTGCTAAATAATTAAACATCACAAAATTTGCACTTACTGATTCCATTCTGATTTCATTTTCACCATTAAAAATAAACATAAAATTTCTCTCATTGCTAGTTTTTTTTACGTTCAATTTTTCAATGAAATAATATACAGACGGTAAACGCAACATATTTTTTCTTGTATCAAAAATAGTAATAAAAATTCACAAATAAATAAGGGATGGAAGTCGACGCCACACTTTGCTTCCGGCAACATTCTACTTCCACGAGTGGAGAACGCCGTTGTATAATAATCGTACCGCCCGCACTTATGATTTTTCGATTAAGCTACGTAAACAGTATATACGGCAAGCTAAACATCTGCCGACGCGAACTGAGTGTTTGGGCAAGGCCCCGATACGATGTTCCACCAACTAACATTCAATGAACTAACGTTCATTTTACAAACGTCCTATATTTAGTTACATTCTGGTGTGCATTCACGACTTGCAGTTACAATACATTGCAGTAAATATTGGAGTCGACACGTGATAGTTGTTTTGTTAATCCACCTTCGCTTCTGGTATTTACATTTTTCAAACGTTTTGGAGTTAGTTTTTTTATGGTACCTTTATGTTCGCTCGTCGAATTCCATTATTTCCATTAGTAGGATGCTTCATTGCTTATATAATTGCGGGAAATATTTTTTGTCGAGCATATATGCGCACACACACACACACACACACACACACACACACACACACACACACACACACACACACATACACACACACACGCGCGCGCGCGCGCGCACGCACGCACGCACGCACGCACGCACGCACGCACCTCTCAATTACGATTTTATAGTAGAGCTGTTAATTATTCGTTCAAATATGTCATACATCCATTTTTTACAAATTGATTAAAAAACTTGTAATAATTTGTGATATTGTAATATTTGTAATTACTCGTTATTAAAACTATAGATTTAAAAAAATATAAAAAGACTATTAATATAAGAATTGGATGTGGAAAAATAATGTCTGAATTTTTGCCATGTTTTAATTTAGCAACAATATGTTTGAAAGATTAATCATTTAGAATATATCATTGAAAAACTCGTGTAACATTCCTAGAAAAAAAAATTTGATATAGCAATTATTTTAATAAAATCATTTTTTTACGGAGCTTAGCAAAATAAAAAAAATCTTCTCAATTTTTGTGATATTCTTCAATCGAAAAGTTAAAATCAT